ACAGTAGTATTTAAATTGGCAGAGAATATGTTTCACATTCAATTTAAAACTTAATCCTTCCAATCATATATTCGAATTATTTTTTTCTGCAGGAATGCAAAAATCAGATCTAGAAATGATAGGGAAAAATATTAAAATTTCTTGGAATACTAAGTGACTCCTTGCCTTCGGCATGTTCGGTGAAATGCGATTTCCACACCTACACTGTGTCGAATTATTTTTATTGACAGCACAAGCACGCTACTACAAATATAGCACGGACTTCCTGTGAACAGTGTGAACTTGATGATGGAAAATAAAAGCCAATGATTACTGTCAAATGGATTTGTTAATAAAAAAAAGATTACCTTTATAACCTTTATTGCTTGGAATATTTAAGAAAAATAATTAGAATTTTTATTTGATACAACATATATCTGAGAATCGAGGGGTTATCTCTCTCTGTTACTCTTTCTCGTACATTTCTCTGTTCAATAAAAACTATGACAACACATATACTTATTTAGTTTTGAAAATTTAATCTACACATGTAATACAAATAATTTGAATGCCTCTTTCCAACATCTTGACCGAGTATAATCACGGCCGGGAAATGTCTACAGATACATGAAGAAGTTAGCTAAAATAATCGTCATAAAGGAATAAAAAGGCGCATAAATATAGAATATTTAGCAGTAGAATTTAAATAAAACGAGAATTTTTATGCAGTACGATAACAGTCAATGTCAACAGATAATTGTGAATTTTAAAAAAATCCGTTATTTACTCAGAATCGCTTTGGCACGGAAATACATGTACGGTTGTTTCAACCCCGTACAGTGTAATTAATTCATTCTATAAGTAGCAGTTTTATCTTCAGAAGTCCACATTATTTCATTAGTGAAAAGAATAAGCATAATTATTTACTATATAAGTAAATTAATTCATTTTTTAAGTACACGCGGTAACAAATACACGTTTGACGGCGATTAAAATCATGTTATTAAAATATCGATTTAAACATAGGTATGTGCAGAAAAAAATGTTTTTATTTATTTTTTAATTTATTAATTAATTTATTTATTTATTTATTTATCTATTGTTTATATCAGAAGTAGTTTTATCTTCTAAAGTCCACATTATTTTATAAGTTAAAAGAATACGCAAAATTATTTACTATATAAGATTAATTTATTTTTTACATACACGCGGTAACAAATACGCATTTGACGGCTAATAAAATCATGGTATTAAAATATCGATTTAAACATACGTATGTATAGATTTTTTTAATTATTTTTTATTTATTTATTTATCTATTTATTTCTCTTTTGTTTATCTATTGTGTATTTATATTTATTTTTGACATTTGAATTATAGAATAAAAGAATAATGTCAATGCAAGGAAAAGAGTGGAGGCATTCCGAATAAATACTTCATCTTGCGTTCACCGTTCGTTCACCGTTCACTTTGCGCTCGCGTTCGAGCTCCGTTCGCGTTCTGTGTTCATCGTTCACACATCGTTCACCAGGTTGCGTTCTGGGTGCGTACATCGTTCACTCACCGTTCGCTCTGCGTTCGTTCACATTTCGTTCACCGTTCAGGTGGGAAAGTAGAACGTTTCAGGGACTGTACAAAACGCTAATGAGAAAAAAGAAATTTAGATTAAAAATTAGATTATTAAAACTAAAACTTGCAGCATTTTTTGGAACGGCAGTTTTTTTTGAAAGTTTTTAAAAACTGACAGGATTTTTCAAGAAAAGCATTTAGTACAAATTTATTTTTTTCATTTTTTTTTTAATTGAAAGAATAAACAGCTGTTTTCATCATGACAGTTCAAGGTTTATGTAGACTGTATCTTTCAAAGAATCTTCTCACCATACTGCAGTAATAAATCCTCTGGATCTGCTGGGTTCATATAATCATTGTTATCCCAGGGCCAGGTATTTTGTGTAAATGAGGATTTGACTTCTGCTGGTGAAGGTTTCTGTAATTTGGAAGGAAAAAAGTAAAAATTATTAAACATAAAGTTCTAACTCAAGTCTTACATGTACATGTATGTGTCAATTAATTTAGAGTTTAATGATTTCTTTACCTACCTTTTTGTCTCTTGTTTAAATTTACAGATTAGGAATCTATTATACGTGGGATACTTATAGCATACCATATTATCAAATTATCTATGCAAAGTACATGACTCAGGTTCAACATTTTGCAGAGTTTGTTCCCTAAGTTATTTTAACAGAAAGCTTGATCACCGTTCAGTGTGCCAACACATAAACACACAAACCTTGAGTCTGATATAATTAATCATCTTGATATACTGTATACAGTCTACTCCGTGTTGTCTGCTCCATCTGACGAGGTCAAGGTCGTGTGAGGTCGTACAGTGTGTGAACGTGACCTCGGGGGAGGTGAAGGTCTGAGAGCAGAAGAGACACGTGACCTGGCTGTCCTCCGTGTCCTCATCACATTCCTCCCACTCCTCATCCTCCTCAGATTCCTCCATCAACTCCTCTGTCAATAGGGATAGTATTTATGGAATAATAAATAACTATCTATAATTTTTTGGTTAGATGATGTGATCAATCAATTGACTTGCTTAATAATTTGCTTAGAAGCCAAAGGCATTTACTCATAAAATTATCACACAAGCTAATCGATTGATCATTGTCATAAAACCTCAAAATCTGAAAGTTATTCCTTATATTTTTATGACCGAATCCATATAAATTAATGTCACAATACATTTTAGTATGTACAGCAAAACTTGTTTAGTACAAACGCGGATATTGCAAATTTATGAATATAGCGAAGTCATCTTGGATCCTACCAACTATATAAATTTAACGAATTCCTTGGACGGATATAACAAACTACGGGTATAGTGAAGTAATTTCATAGGTCCCAGTGACTACGTTTTAACTGAGTTTTACTGTATAGTAAAAGTATATTTTTCAACAGCCAAAACAGTTGATTGGCCTTAATTGTGATTGCAAATTATTTATTTTCATTTGGTAGATCCATGTCCAATCGACAGGATTTACGCCACTGGCTGAGGTTGTATTCCATATATTCTTCAGCCTCAGGGTGTACATGGAATAAAAACTGGGGTAAATGCCTGTTCACCCTTGATAAGACCTAGATAGCTGACATTATTCATTTTTTAAAATGAATATCAACTTGTACTATAACAGATGTTATACTGAAAATGGGATTAATCAGTTAATATGAATGTTTTGATGTCAGAATGTTCCTTTTTTCAAAATCAGGTGATATAAATTATTTCTATTAACTTTATTATTACACAAACATTTAAATATTTTCATGATATATTTTCTATTCAACTTGTACATATAAGAAAGTTTTCGTTAACTCTAATACTAAACTTACTAATACTAAACTTACTAAGTCTTTTGTTCATCGAGGAAACTCGAGCTAAATATTACCACTACACATTGATGCTTTGTGAGGATTCAAATCATTGGAATATTTATTTATTTTGGAATTTGGAGAATCTATTAGTATCGTAAATTTTAAAAATGAAACAACATATCAGAAATTATCAAAGGAAAAATATATATCTTTATGAAACACGTGTTTACCTTTCTGAAGTTTCTCTGCCATGTTTACAGTGGACGTTTCGGAACTCCTCTAGTCATTTCCTACCTTGCATACCAGTGGTGGACCTATATTTTCAAAGGATGATAATAATTTCAGGGGCGTATTTATACTATAGCAAATGTTAATTGAAAGCCTTGTTGCACCCCCCCCCCCCCACTTTTAGTGATGTACTGAAAATGTAGTATTAGAATTGGTAATGAAAGTAGGCCTAGTTAACACTGAGAAAAAGTTTACCTTAACCCCCCCCCCCTCCCCACGAAATAGGATTTTCGACTTTTGGCAACTTTTCCCTTTTTTTTCAGGTAAGTAAAAAAAAATCTCTGGCTAGCCCCCCACTTTCAAAAGCGATGCTACGCCCCTCGTACATTAGAAGTAAAATTAAAGAATATATTAAGAATTGTACATTAAATCTTAAATATAGATCAAGATTTTAACATCGGAGTCTGTTGAGGAAGTCTGTATACAAAACTTTAAATTGTACATTATATAAAGGAAAAAAAAACCATTGAAATATCTTGTATTAAGCTGGGTATATAACTTTTAACTAATAAATGTTTTGTTTATTTTGAATTTAGTCTCTTTTCATTTATAGTTCAGAAAAGAAATATTTTATTTGCGGATGAATAGAGTGAAGGAGATAATTAATAGTGAAGGAGATAATTAATTTTGAATGACTTAGGTAAAATGTCAGTATTAGAATAAATTCTCTTTTCTGCAATATGATAGACTTTTGTACTTTAATACTGTATTATTCATACTGATAAAGTTGAGAAAAATACAGTTAGCCTGATTTTCATTTTTAAAAAAAGAAAAAGAAAAAAAATGCCAATCGAAAACTTATAAAAAGACTTTTAAGTAATTATCCGTTTTTCAATCACATCCTGTGTCAACCAGAGAGACGGAATAAGTGATGTAAAAACATCGTCTGCAACCACGGTTCGGAGTCTGCGTAATAGAATGGGAGAAGATCATACATTTTAGCCGTGGTTTGTAACAATGTGTAAATTATTACCATGATTTCTTGCAACGTAGTTTCTTTCACCTTCCTATGTATACCTAAGCTAACCCCGGACAAGTCAACATTTTCAAGCTTATTCAGCATATTTGATGAAATTTTTTAGCCATTTTTCTGACATTGCAAAAAATACTTTTGACAGTATAACTTTCCTTGTGCAATGGAATCAGAATATATACATGGATATTTACAATTACATTCACAGTCATATAACATACACATGTATATGCATATCAGACTCTTGTAGAACCTAAGATAAACAACAAATTTGTTACTAAATTACATTTTAATTTTAATTGTATATCTCTATTTCGCATTTACAACGTGTAGCCAGAAAAAGAAGAGTATTTGGGATAAACAGATGATGCTCCTGAATAGCTATCTATCCAAGCCTTATCTCCTGCTTCCATTCTGACGACAGCCATTTTACTACATGACATGTTAATATGATGGCTGTTGTTGTTACAATGGTTATATATGCCTTTATTTTACCATTCAAGACCAGAGAGGTATAAGCACCTTTGTTACTGTCTGTCATTGTTGTCCAATCAAAGACGTAAACTCCCGATTTGGGGGCGATGAAAGTTCCTTTAACCCCGTTGTAACCACCTCCTACATTCAGATCGACTTCTCCAAACATGACAGTGTTTCCCTTACTCACTGTCTGGACACCTCCTTTGGATTTGGCATTGAATGCTATTACCATATTTTCTAAGGACAAATAAAGAACAAATGAGAATGAAAAAACATGTGCTCAGTGCATATTCATTATATCAAACATTCATCTGAATTAGTATATTACTTCTATCATGGTTCTTTTTACAGAGATCCTTAACATATCCAACAGCCACACACGTTTTAGCGACACTGTCATAGTCGTCTCTGAAGGATTTAAGGCTTGGTCCTGGTGACACTTTGTCAGTGTTAATGATGCCAAAAAGTGAACCAATTCCCACAATCAACAGTAGAGAATGCATTCTATAAAATTCATGATAATTTGAAAAACACTGGACACCCATTCTCAATATAAGGGCACAAATGCCTCTCTGATTTTTTAAAAAATGAAGTTCAAGATAATTTTTCTATCAATTACCTTTGAAAGAAAGTATCTGAAGATTTTGTTTCCAGATTTTTTTCATCAAATTTTAATACATGGAATAATGACAAGACGGTAAAGTAGAGGGTGATTTTATTCAGAAATGTAGCTTGAAATGTACGTTACTCTTTCTTCAATGTCCAAAAAGATATGTCAAAAAAATGTAGTCATTAAAATCACAATTGGAATATCTCATCTTAACACCAGCACATCCTACCAACTCTGTCAGCAACATATTTTCTCGACATACGAACTTGCGTTTGATTTTTCCTTTCAAAAAACAAAGGTTACTTTTTGATCCAGATGTATAAAAACAGTTTTTAAATATATGCTTTAAATTCTTCTTTCTGTTTTGTTTAGAGCGATCAGTTTGGAATCTTGTCATTTTCTATAGATACTGGAACTTAACATGTACATGTAGTAAAATTCTATTTTGTAGTTACTGTCTTTTTTAACATATATCCATGCCGATTTAGAAAACTACGTAAATATAACGTACATTTCAAGATATACTTCTGTTTAATAAAAAGCTTTAAATTCATCTAAAAATTCATCGTTTTGTTTCAGTTTATTCCAAAAAAGATTCTTTATGTAATCACATTGTGTTATATGTCACAATCACCACTATAAAGACACGATTGTCTCAGAATATGAGTAGGTAACGGACATTTCAAGCTTGTAATACTATGTAAATTAGTAATAAGAAAATGTCGAAAAAAAAGCAATTATTGACATAAAAATCATTTCAATGAAGCGTTTTAACGCAGTAATATAAGAAATCATAATGTAACAAACGAGGTTATTTGTCATCAACTACATGAATGTCACGTTACTTCGGTAACGTTCATTTCACATATTATTGGGGAGTCCCCTCCAACTCAGTTCAACCATTCTTTTGTGCTGTTTCGTTGAAATTGACACCGGTCGTTGCCTAGTTACTTCTACCTGTGTGAAAGGGTACAGACAAAAAAAAAATAATAAGAGTCAGACGTATTTTGCTATGATCTAACAAATGCTCGTGTTTGGCCATTGAAACTTAACATAAATCTATTCCGAATATATCCATCGACAGTCTTGTTAACAATTTCATTTAGTATGTTGCAACATCGTTTGTCAAAACACAAACATACGTGCTTTTCAGCAGATCTGAAAAAATATAACCCAAAATGCAATGATTAAAAAAAAACTGAGTATTGTGTGCCTTTCAGTTTTTGAAATGTACGTGACCGTCTTGTGTTCTGGGTTTATTTGTTTTGTTTCTTTTTTTTCCCCAATTATAAGGCCATGCATACCTTGTTTTAAATCATCAACAACAATTAAATTAATATTGACGAAAAGTCGCATATTAAAAGTAAACAAACTGCAAAAAGGTTGCCAAAGATGAATTTAAGACACTTAGAAATAAATTTTCTAGCATGTGGTAACAGTCTACTTTATTTACGAGGATTGGGGGTGCATTTAGATGGATTTATGTGGTCAGTTGTCAAATGGATTGTAACGATAATTTTGTTTCGCTCGTGTAAACGCAATTCATTGACTAAATAAAAAAATGTCAGTTAAAAATACGCAAAATGTACGTTACCATACGTAACGTACATTTCAAATATCAAAATCAATTCTCTTCCACAACCGTACGTTTGACACGCAATATATTGATACTATTTGAACTTGCATATCATAAGAAATGCATCATACAGGTTTCGTATTCAGAAATATATACCAGGCATCAAAATTATATTACATATAATTGACCTTAATATATATTTTTTTTCTCAACAGAAACGTTTCTTTTCATTAATTTTGGGATTTAGCCGACCTCCAACCTTTGAAACTTTCCTTTGTGTACACATTCGAGTGTGTGAAAGTATGAGAATACATGAAAATTCGTGCGAGATTCACTTAATTCGAATTTCATGGTAACGTACATTTCAGTAACGTACATTTCAAATGATCACTTTTCATGTAAAAAACAATTTTTAATTGTGTTAAGCAAAACGTCTTTGCCAGTTTACAGGATACAAGGGGTTGCTTATTCAGAGTCGTCTCATATTTTCTACTTAATATATATTCTTAATGGAAGAATATAGGTAACGTACATTTCTTTCTTATCTCTACGATTGAAAATGTCTTTCATTCCGTAAACATATTTATAAAAGTTGCTCAAATTGTTCAATTTCATGTTACATTATCTAAGTAGGAGTAATTAATCCTTTGAAATTTCAAATTTAGCCCATCAATAAATAAAGGAGAACAAAACTATCAGGTGTATAATATTTGTGTTTGCTTGTAATGTGGTTGAAATAGAATTAAGCGACAGGGACATTGCACTATAAAATTTATTTATTATCACAAAGAAAATGTATTTATTGTTATGAAAAGAAATATATATGATACAAGGTTTAACTTATCAGAAAATTTTTACTTGAGAATCAAAACTATATATCACACAGAGGAGATCCAGCATAATATTTGCCTCGGCGACAGTAACGTACATTTCAAATAGGCTACTATATTTGAATTTGGAACTCCTTAAATACCCTTTCAGATCGATAATTATATGAATTCTTATTCATTGTTATATGACTATTTATAATGTTGATTTAAGAATTACATCAGTGGTATTTCTTCTAAATGAAAATGAGGCGACATTATTTGAGCCCTTATATTGAGAATGGGTGTGGAAAAAAATTGAGTGAGTTCCTCATATTAAATATCTGCATTTCATTATTGAAAGCTCAATGACTATTAATCGTTTTTGAGCAACGTCTCATGTCAATTGTCGGTTAGATATATTTAGTGTGGTAGTTTTCAGATAGAATAAATGAAATAACGCGGTATGAAGAGATGATGCGAAGGAAAAACTTATCCCTTCAAAATATAGCTATAAATTTTCAATTCCATACATTCGTTCATACATTTATTTAATTTATATGAAAGGAATTTCTGATTTAAAATATTGCTTTGGAAAGTGAAGAAAATAGGTATGCTTTACTCAGTAATAAGTGAATGCCAACATTTTTTTTACGTATAGCGCTATAATAATTTATATACTCCATACAAAGCTACATTTTTTTTTCTTAATCAAAAAATTTTAACGTAATCTACTTAATTCATTCTCAGTATGAAAAGTTTTCATACCTTTCGTTAGGAATTACTTCATAACACCAAGTGATGATGCAACCTTTCTTTTCAGTAACAGCTTTTATATATGTTACTAATCCTAGCGTGCTACCTTATCATTTGGTAGCATATTGCAATTGTATAATTTGATATCGGCATCGAAAAAATATATATTTATTATGGACTCTTTTCAAATTCTACGAAAATTATTAAAAAAGTAACTGTAGTTACATAAATATTCCATAAAAATATTGTCTGGGTATATATTGTATTATCATTATGTTGATCAGCAAAAAAAGGGGGGAGGCTATTTTATGAAATATTGATACCGGTTTGTCCTTTTTTCACAGGTCTGGTCTACAATGTAGGTACTTTGTGAAGCTTACATCTAGAAGTCACACACTGCAGTTTTATTCCTGATACTTAAGAAGTTGTTTTTAGAGACAGATTTTCGACATAAGTAGGATTCAAATATAGAAAATCTGAACCAGAACAACTGTTTATTACAAAATTAATTCATTTTAGCGCCCATGCATAGAAATATTTCTTTGACTCACTCTACTGAAAGAGAGGAATATACGTATTTCTTTGAAACTCGGCATATTGAAACAGGAAAAATAGACTATAGTCGTTTTGAATGTTTAGATGTCTACCGATCCACGAAGGGTAATTAGAAACAGTTCGTGAACTAGCGCCATCAAATTAATTTCCAATATTTATTTTTACCTGAGTGTATTTAAGATAACTCTTCAGATATGAGCAATTGTCATCCAAACATTCCATTAATTCGGGCATGTAGACTGATGCGGTGTTACACAATTTGCCATTTCATCCATGGAGTGTCCAAACAATGAAGAACTGAAAATGACATCAAGACAGGGAAAGGTTTTTTCTGCTTTTAAACATTTTATAACGTTTGCGTAGATGGAAACTGGCGTAGCGCTCGAATTTATTTAAATGAGATGCAGAAAAATAAATTTAAAAAATCATTCAGAATACTTGCTTTTTGATGGCGCTTCCTGAAAATTTTCTTCGTGATTTCTGTGATCTGTTCGCCAATAGCTCACAATTAAAAAAATATCCCTTCATTATCTTAACGCAGCATACTTACAGCTACAGAAGTGGGGCCTAATTTGTAAGAGAAATGTTAACTTATTGACATCACACAAATCTTTATGACATAGTTTGTTTGTAGCTATAGGCAAATTAAGAAATAGTTTCACAATCGATAATGAAATATTCTATGTAGTTAAATAAAATTTTATTTGTAAACGTTTAAGGCGCCAACAACGTACATGCAATGTTTTTTAAAATTATTTACCCATATATTTTTCGTACATTTCCTAGTACACTGATAGTGTGGCAAAATTTTCTGGATGTAGATTTGAGGGCGATGTAATGGTCTTAAATAAATGGTTTCACTGTATACACTCAAATGATCATTGTAAACGTTCACACATAAACTCTAGGATTATTAAAGCATATGACAAGAGCTGCAATCCTGCTGAAACGGATTAATTATTTCTAAAATTAATGTATTTGACCAGTATAACATGCACCATGCAATAATAAAGAGTACAATGAATATAGGATCGCACTTTTCACAACATTCAATTTCTGAAGTATTTTTAAACTTAACTTTGACTTAAAACTTGGTTTTGCTCTTGCACCACTAAATTATATATGATACATATTGTAGGTTTTAGAGAAGTCCACCCTGTTACTGTCTATCATGTTGCCATAACCAACATATTTAACGCT